CGGCGCGAATAGCACCACCGCTTTCCTCGACAAACAACACCACAACTACCCTCTTCACCTGTCGCCTACAAACACTACCTCATCACCCTCTTCCATCTCCTGCGCCCCGTTTTCTACTCGCCAGCCCGGTGCGAGAGCGAGAATCGAGTCCGTCTTTATCTTCAGTCACTGCTCTGTTTCACTGAAGCACTGGCTCGCTACTGAGAACCGCTTCGCCGATCGTCCGCGAAGAAGCTCTTTGCCTGAAAAGCCTGTCTGATTTCGCCTTCCGAAAACACATCCAACATGGCTGAAGTTGCATCTGCTCAGCAGCCGGTCCCGCTTGACACCATCCCAATCTCCCCCGACGGAGACAAGTCCACCAGCGGCACTGATAACTCTAAGAGCAACGGAAGTGCTGACACCGTCGACGATGCGCCCGTCACCGTATTCCACGACCCCGACAACTTCAATGTTAAGCATCCGCTCATGAACACCTGGACTCTGTGGTTCACCAAGCCCCCAAGCGGCAAGGTATGCATGCTTCCCGAGCGCCATATGTGTGGGTCTAAAGGGTGCGCCGGTAACTGACGTACTATAGGGCGACAACTGGAATGACTTGCTTAAAGAAGTCATCTCGTTCGACTCAGTCGAAGAGTTCTGGGGCATCTACGTGGGTTCACTGTAGCTACGCATCCTGACATTATGAAACCGTGCTGATACTTTGGCTTGACAGAACAACATCACTTCGACGTCCGAGCTCGCCCTCAAGTCCGACTACCATCTCTTCAAGAAAGGCGTTCGTCCGGAATGGGAGGACTCGCAGAACAAGCACGGCGGCAAGTGGGCTTTCCAGTTCAAGGACAAGAAGGCCATCAACATCGACGCCCTCTGGCTGCATGTCATGCTCGCTGCCATCGGCGAGACCCTGGAGGAGGATGGCGACAACGAGGTTATGGGCGTAGTGGTCAACGTCCGCAAAGGGTTCTACCGCATCGGCTTGTGGACCCGCACCGTTGGCAAGGCAGGCGATGGAAAGAACGGCACCGCCAAGGCTCGTACGCCGGAGCAAGGAAAGGAGGTTCTGATGCGGATCGGCAAGAAGTTCAAAGAGGCCTTGGGCCTGGAGAGCAGCAATGAGGTGGTCGAGTTCTCAGGACACACCGACAGTGCTCATGCGGGAAGTACCCGCGCAAAAGCGAAGATGACGGTGTAAGCCGGGGCGGTACTAACCGAGTTGGTGGTTTAGGCGTCGATGTATGGACGACAGATGGGCAAGAAATGGTGCGTCTGAGGCTCGCTTGCCTCACGCAGTACGCTTTCGCCTTCGACGTTTACGTCGCTGACATCGGACCTATCGACTCCCAACAAAGGTAATTACCCAAATTTCATTTACTCAGCTTCACTATCCCCCGATTTCCTGAACGACAACTCGATCCGATCCCAATCGAAGGGTATTGCGTGGCGTTGTAGCCTCTGGCCCCTCATTTGCGACAATGGAAGGATCATCATGGGCTTGTGAATCCTCGATGGGACAAGGGGCAAAAGTGGGTTTCTGTATACTGGTCGATCAGGAACAACACATTCCCCGGTTAGCATGGCGTTGAAAGGGTTTATGGGTGGCATGGGCATGCGATGTCATTTCAGCCCTTAGTGGTCATTTTCCTTTTTGGGCTGTCCGTGTGATAGCGGAAGTGGTGGAGGTGGATACCTGTGTTGATAGATTCCTACCGATATGAAATCATGAGTGCATGATTTAAACCTACTGTTCCTTTGCTTGTGAATATATCAATGAATCCGACACCACGCAGACCAAAGCAAAAAGGTGGCCTGTTGTCTCACCTTCCAAAATTCTCGGTTGCAAAGGACGTCACTGAACTGCAGGTGAAGCCGAGTAAAAACGTCAACCTACTCAGCCCTGTGCCGCGTCAACGAAAGCCAGGCTGCTCTACCAGCAACAACACCCTCGACCCTATTCCTCATTTCTCCCTCTCCCAACGCCCTATCCCTACAACCATGGTCGTCGACACGGCATACTACGATGCGCTGCAGGTCCCGCCTACGGCCACCGAGCTCGAGATCAAGAAAGCATACCGCAAACTCGCGATAAAGCTGCATCCTGGTAAACACCACCGCCCACCACTCTGTGTTTCGTCTCTCGCAGCTCCTGACCAGATGTCTAGACAAAAACCCGGACGATGCTACTGCCCACGAGAAATTCCAGATCGTATGTGCCCTGGAACGGCTGCCCCGCTATCTGGGAGAAATTCGTCGCGCAGGACCTTGGCTTACGGAGGGATAGATTGGAGAGGCATATCAGGTACTCAGCGATGACCAGCTACGAAAGCAATATGATAAGTTTGGGAAAGAGGGTGCGGTGCCGCATAGTGGGTTCGGTACGTGTTCTGATCTCCCCGCCGCGATGTGAGATGGAATACTGACGCTAGACAGAGGATCCGGCGGAGTTCTTTGGGATGATATTCGGTGGCGATGCGTTTGTGGACTGGTACGAACCACCCCAATCTCCCCATAATCGTAGATGAGCTGGGGAGTTCATGGGTGAGCATGGCTAACAGACACCAGGATCGGAGAGATATCACTCATGAAGGACCTCACAAAAACCATGGATATATCGATGCGAGAGGCGGAAGAACAGGAAGCTCAAGCCGCCGCTGCCTCTGCCTCTGCCGAGCCCTCATACCCAGATGCCGCCGAGGGCTCGAAGTCCTCCTCTCCCCCACCTGCAGCCGGCGCAACTCCCTTCGCCGCGCCCCCTCCCCCTTCTGTCTCCGTAGACACGCCCATAGCCGCAGACGATGCGGCCGCCAAAGACGCAGCGCACGCCGCGGCCGTAAACACCCCCATCACCCCCTCGGCCTCGGGCACCAGCACGCCCCGCAGCGGCCGCGGGCTCCCCACCCGCCTCGCCGTGATGGACCGGTCAGAAGAAGACGCGCGACTGGAAGCAGCGGGCGTGACGGATGCCGAGAAGGAGCTCCGCGCGAAGGAGAAGCGGAAGGGGCTAAGCAAAGAGCAGCGCGAAGAACTCGCCGCATACGAGCTCGAGCGGAAAAAGATCCGCGAAGAGCGCGTCTCGAATCTCCAAAAGAAGCTCATCGACCGCATCAGCGTGTGGACCGAGACGGACAAGGGCGCGGACGTCACGAAAGCGTTCAAGGACAAGACGCAGCTCGAGATTGAGAATCTGAAGATGGAGAGCTTTGGGCTGGAAATCATGCATGCGATTGGTGCGACGTATTTGCAGAAGGCGTCGGGGTTCTTGAAGAGTCAGAAGTTTCTGGGGATTGCGGGGTTCTTTTCTAGAGTTAAGGATAAGGGGACGCTGGCGAAGGAGACGTGGACGACTATTAGCACGGCGATTGATGCGCAGATGACGATGGAGGAGATGGCGAAGATGGAGGAGAAGGGGGGTGAGGACTGGACGGATGAGAAGAAGGCCGAGTATGAGAAGAGGGTTACGGGCAAGATTCTTGCGGCGGCGTGGCGGGGGAGCAAGTTTGAGATCCAGAGTGTGCTACGGGAAGTTTGCGACCGCGTCTTGAACGATAAGAAGGTCAAGCTGGAGAAGAGGATTGAGAGGGCGGAGGCGCTGATGATTATCGGGGAGATGCACAGCAAGGTAAGCTTCGCCCGTGTCATTTTTGTTTCAGTGGGATTCTAGCAGCTAACATTTCGGATAGGCTGCGCGAGACCCAGACGAAGAAGGCGACTACATGGCCTTCGAGCAGCTCATGGCCGAGGCCGCAGCCAAGAAAGAGCACAAGCACGACAAAAAGGGCAGCAAGAAGGAAAAGGAGAAGGAGAGGTCGAAGGATTCGTCACCGCCTCTGGGTAGTGCATAAGCTGGGGGCGGCTGGAGGCGATAGATTGATCCTAGAATACCATCCTTACCTCGACTCAGGATGGTGTTCTAGAGCTGAGTCGCGGTGCTAGTGACGTACAGAGCATTTGACAGCTTGAGTCCGCTCCGCTCGGGTGGAAGTAATTGGGAACGCTTGGGGCTGGATGGGTCGGTGAGCAGGGTCATGGCTGCTGCTTGGGTATGGGTGACTACTATAGACGTGCGGCTACGATGAGATATGCATACGATACTCCCCTTCATTCTTCTTCTTTCTGTCTTTTGTCCTTTATCACAGCCCTCTTCTACACCGGTTATTGGATCCCAGATCTAGGAACCTGTGATGAGAGACGCTTTCTGGCTAACAACGAGAAGCGTAAACGGGAGTCCGTATTCTTTATACTAAAGCACTTTCGTTCCAGATATGTTCCAATCTGCCGTCCCTCGCTTTCAATCGCCCTCGAGGCATGATCCAGCAGGCTCTTACGAATAGACGCTACGCCCCTCTGAATCATGACATAGGAGTTTATCCAAGTCATAGTGTGTTAAGAGGCACCAACATGAGCCATTCCATGCAATTTACAATTGTCTTTGGCAGATCTCTGCACGACACTTTTAAACGGACCTAGAGAAATGAGATTTTTGAACCACGGTTGATGTGCATAAAGAGGAGCCAGTCCGCGATTTCGACCCCGCGGCAAAAGGGTATGAAAGAGGTTACGACTTCGGGCCTCTAGCTTCTAACAATGCCCAGTGTAGAAGTCTTACGATTAAATCAAGATGTAAGATCTGTGGCCAGCTAAATTAGACTGGAATTGGGGGAATTTTATGAGGTGTTGAGATGTATGAACGTGAGCCAGTCCGTGCAACTTGGAGTTGATTTTGGCATGTTGTTGAATGACACTTTCGATTAAAACTCTAGAACAGAGCGAACACATCGAGAATGAATTCTTACTAAGGATCCAGAACTTCAATTCCCTATATCAAAAGGTTCTAATTTATCTTGCACTATCTCGAGATACCTACTTACGTATTGCTCTATCTTATACACTACGCCCTTCGGAAGCCTAAAAAGCTTCCTCAAGTTCTATACACAGGTTCCCGTGCACACTTACCACCACAAAAGAGAACTTCTAGAGTTATACATCCTCAAAACAAAAAGTACGAGCGGGGAGGATCGAACTCCCGACCTTCTGCGCTTCAAAGGACACGTGACCTGTAAAGCAGACATCATAACCACTAGACTACGCTCGCTGTGATTCGCTAAGGAATTTCGAAACTTTCCCAATTATGCCGAATAGTATCCTTGATAATGGATTGAGGCAATGGAGATATCTGATCCGTAATGACATCGAACAGATTCTTGAGCAAAGAGTGGAGTAAAAGCATATCGTAATCCATTCCTATCAAAGAAACTCTAGTCTAGCCTACCCCGCTATCCCCACTACTCAGCCCGAAATCAACTCCCTCGAAATCCCCCTCCACCAAAATCCCCTTTCCAGAACTCCCCCTAGAACACAGCAAAAGCACTACAATAACTAACACTACTATCCCTCACGCTCACACAGTCACTACTCCGCTCATACCGCACGAACCTGAACCTCCCCTTCCCACTCCCCCGCTCCACCTCGCCCCCTTTCTCCAGCGCCTCCACCGCCGCCATCACCACCCCAATCGGATGCCGCCCGCACACCGTGTTCTCCGTGTCCGCTAGCACCTCCAGGAACGCGGCGTGCACCCCGCTTTCAACCGCGTCCATGCACAGGTGGTCGACGGCGGCGATGCTGGCGTGTAGCGGCGGGTCCGCGGGCGGGCGGTCGCTGCTGCGCAGGTCGACGGCTGGGCCGGTGCGCGGCTGGTAGTAGGTGTAGCGGAAGCGGGCGCCCCAGTGGCAGAAGTCGGAGGAGATGATGAAGGTGGAGGTGGGGTCGGCGAGGTAGGGGGCGAGCAGGGCGCCGTAGGCGGATTCGGAGGTCGCGGTGGTGGCGCCGACGAGGATGGGGGTTATGGGCGGGAAGGAGGAGGGGGTGGAGAAGGTTCTGGAGGTAAGAGGCGTTAAAATAGGTGAGTGGTGGGAGGGGAGTGTTGGAGGGGGGTACCTGGAGAGCACTTTGTAGATGTAGGGGAGGTGCATCTCGAGACTGTGCTCGGCTTCGTCGACGGAGCGGGACATCTTGTCGAAGGAGCCTTTTCGGTGCAGCTCGGCGACTGTGGCTTTGTCGACTTGGAGGTTGCCGAGGGGGGTCTCGAGGGTGTCGCATTGGGAGAGTGCGCAGCCGGAGAGGTAGTGGTGATGGGATGGGCCAAGGAGGAAGATGCGTTTGCTACAGGGGCCAGTCTCAGCTTGAATTTCCCCTTGATGTTTTAAAGAAAGGTAATTGAAGACTCAACTCACGTCTTAGACAGATCTAATGCCTTGTACGCCCATGCCGCGGCAGGCCCAGAGTACGAGTATCCGGCGTGCCTGCTTAGCTATGAGCCTCTTATATTCAAGACCACCAGCTATGTCTCTTAGCCTACGGTGCAATGATGGCCCTGGCGCCCTCTGAAGGTAGTGAAGCGGCGTCTTGCTTGGACGACTCAGTGCCGATGCCTTTGGCGGATGAGGGAACGGCGTCGAGCCATCCGTCTAGCTCAGCAGAGAGCTCGGATTTGCTGGATGAATACCACGAGCCGGCATGGGTAGCTCTTCGAGTTGGCATTGTGTTGTCTTGCGTTATATCTGGGGTGTGAGTGGTGTTGTTGATTGTTTGATACTGGGCAAGCTCTGGGTAGCTCGGATGGAGGGGTAGAGGTGGGGTTCCGATAGTGAGTGAGGCAGAGCTGTATTGTAACTGTAGGGGATCTCAGTTCAACATATCTATAAACCCTTCCGAAGACGTCATTGTTTATACAGCATAACAAGAGATGATAGATACGAACTAGACAGAATACTTAGAACTGCAGCTCATCTCTGCGTGGCAGAACTTATTCTACTGAGCTCTATTATTGTCATTTTGGAGCTTTGAGAGCATTAATAACGCTTTGATATCGAAACTGAAGACACAATACTCATCAGAATCATCGACATCTTTGAAGTAACGTAAAACCTGATCAAATCCTTGGGGGGTGTAGAGTGTTGCGAAAACGCGCGAGTCTCGCGTCGCCATTTTCCGATCTACGCGCTTCCCAGCCCCCAAAAGATCTCCCGCCATAAATCCCACGTCTCTCCTCCAACAATCAGCATCCCACCAACTACAACCAGCATCACAATCAACATATTATACCCGACTAAAACCCCAATCCTCCACAATGGCCTTTAAACGCAAACGCTCCATGTCAAACGACTCTCCCCTCTCCACCTCCAGCTGCTCGTCCACGTCAACATGCGACCCGCAAAGTCCATCCCCTCCATCGCGCCCCATGGGTAGCGTGATGGACTTCTCCTCCTCCTTCCCCTCAACCCTCCAATGGCCCTCGCAACCCACCGCCAGCTTCCCCCGCGCCCGCCTCTCCGCCACAGACCTATCCAGCCGCACGCGCAAGCGCTTCCGCGACAACCGACCCGACGTGGAGACCATCCACGGTACGGACACCTCCATTCCCCATACTACCATCACCTGAACGCGTACTAATCCATACCAGAAAACACCCTCTCCCTCCTCTTCTCCGCCGCGCGCGCGCCGCACCCCTCCCCAACCCCCTCCCAATCGCAGCCTTTGACGACGAAACACGAGCCCACCCAGAAATCAACCCTCCACGCCTTCTGGGCCCTCCCCGCGCCGCGCGCGCCGGTCTTCAGCCATGTGCACCTGGACGCGCATACCGGCCCGAACCCGCCGCAGCAGGGCCTGCCGTGTGAGGACTGCGACAGCGCGCTGGAGGCGGAGAGTATGGAGATTGATGAGATGGGGGAGGTAGGGGATGAGTTTGCGTGTGCGGGGTGCAGGCGGCGGGTGTGTGGGATGTGTGCGGTAGCGGGGGATGAGCGGCGGTGTTTGAGGTGTGTAGGCGTGGGAGGGGGGTGGTGAAGGGTTTACGAGTGCAGGGTATCCTGGGATTGGTGGTCTGGGATGAGCTGAAGTCGAGGGGTTCACGCTCGAGGTGGCTATAATGACTGATGGGTTTGAGATGCTTGCTTTGGGCTGTTTGGGTGTGGGTTTGGCGGTGTTTAGCGGATTGATAAGTTTGGTGTATGGTTGGAGATAGCGCTGCCTTGGGATACCAATGCCGTCATAGTTATATTGTTCAAAATGATAGTTGTGTAGAGATTCGTTTGATGCCATAAAGATGTCGCTTTGTCGTTCACTCATCAATAGATGCTTTCATACATGAGGGATATCAAACGTATGGAGTATCGCCCTCTTCTAAACTCCCAATAACGAAACATCATCCGAGACGCCATGCCATCGACTCCAATCCTAGAGATACAGCTCATGCGCTCAGAGAAACAGAACACCACGCTAATGCCCCCCAAGATACAAAACTGAAACTAGTTATTTTGGCCGGGGAGGCTGATGCGATTTAACACTCCACCCTTGCAAACTCCTTCGCATTCCGAGCGTCTTCCGCTGTGGTGCAGCAGAAGTGGTCAGTTTCGACATGCTTGTCGCATGGAACGTCGACGCGGGGCGGAACCCATCCGAGGAGCCGGCACTGGTGGTGACGGTGTCAGATAGGATTTTAGTTGGGCTAGGGGGTTCCGCGTCGTATGCAGAGGCACCTAGCGAGGGACAAAGTTAGCAGAAACCTCAAGACGTGCATGAAGAACATCTGAACTCACCATTTCCCACAATCGCTTTATCTGCCTCTTCTAGCTTTACCGGTGAACTTGAAAGCAGCACATATCGCTGTGTTTCTCCAACCTCTTCCTCATCGATCCGTCGCGGTTTTCCAAGAAGCGGTTGATTTCGTGGTCGGTGCGTTGAAATGGTGGGCGGTACATAAACGGGCTTCGAGGCAACAGATTGCTTGCGGAGGTTGGATACATCGTTCAAAGGCGGCTGATGCGATATTGAGGAAAATGCGGGAAATTGCTGCGAAGACTTGACGAAGCCGGTAGGTTTCTCTGTAAGGTCCTTTGTGTGGGAGTTTGAGTGAGTAAAGAAGCTCTTGATACTCCCTTGTCCTATCGGTCGCTTGGTGGATCTCTTCGTAGATGCTACTCCAAGTTTGCTAATCCCGCTGTCCTCGCGTTGGAGCTGTTTTGGGGTATATTCTTTCGTAATGCTGACTTTCTGCGCAGCTTCAGTCTCCTGGAGGACCTTCATATGTGCACCAGCGCTGACGAATCCACTTGGAGGAAGAGTCGTGTTTGATATGGAATAGTGTGAGGTATTCTGCATTGTCGTTGACGTCGTCATCGTGGTAGCTTTCGCTGTCTCAAACTTGCGTCGCTTCGAAGGAAAGTCGGAAGGAAAAGCATCGCTACGTGGGTTGTCGATGTCCCAGTAGCTACTCTCAGGGTCGATCTCTTCTCCATCCAAGGGGTATAGGTCGTCCTCAACGCGCTCGATGAGTGTCTTAGCATGTTGAATAATCGAGGCTGCAGGACAAGCACGCCGAAGAATGCGGGACAAGTCTTGGGTTGTCTGAAACCCAAAAGAAGGCCCCCTGATATCAAAGCTCCTAACCACGTTCTTCGGAGTAACAAAGGGTGACATTGTCGTCTGTTCCTTCAGAGAGTTTTGGGTGGGACAACTTAGGTAGAGCAATGCTTGCGCCCTCGTCATGCCAACGTACAGAAGTCGTCGCTCTTCGTCTGTATCCTCCGATCTTGAGTGTGGTATTGATCCTTCGTAAGCAGCAGGTATGAATACCACGGGCCATTCGAGCCCTTTAGCAGCATGGATGGTTGAGATAGTGACTTGTTCAGCTTGCTCTCCATCTTTCTTTTCAACTTCGGTAGACAGCGCCACATTGGACAGAAATTTGGTCAATATGTCTCCCGAAGACAGCGTGCGCTGTTCGATACCATCGACAACTGGCAAAATTTCGTCGAGAGCGTTTTCACCGGCTTCCGTAGACAGCGCTACATCCGTCGCTTGCGCAACCAACTCTTCCACGTTGGCCCATCTTCCTTCCCACTCCTCTCGATACGTCTTTCTCAAAAAATCTTGAAAGGATAGCTTTTTGAGAACATGCGCGATTAGATCGACCAAAGAACAGTCTTTGCTGTCTTCATTAAGCAGCTTCTTTCTTGAAGTTAGAATCAGGTTGACGAACGTGTCGATGCCCTTTTCAGCTTGTGACGACAGTTTCGTTTGAGGTCTCTT